GTAATGTTTAATAATTTGACACGGATGTAATGATGGTGCTGGGCATGTCTATTAATTCTGACTGTCTCTGGGTAAGCTGTGAGACAATAACAGTTATGTGATGGAAGCCAAATGAATTTTTATCAGCATCTGCTTGCAGCCATTACCACATGGCATGACAAACACAAGGAAAAAAAAAAAAACCTGAATTTTGTCCCTAGTAGTTATGGGATCCATCGTTTCTGCTGTGAAATGAGTGGCATTTCTACAGGGTGGGCCATTTATATGGATACACCGTAAAAACATGGGAATGGTTGGTGATATTAAAGTCCTGTTTGTGGCACATTAGTATATGTGAGAGGGCAAACTCAAGATGGGTGGTGACCATGGTGGCCATTTAGAAGTCGGCCATCTTGGATACAACCTTTGTTTTTTTTCCCCCAATAGGAAGAGGGCCATGTGACACAAACTTATTGGTAATGTCACAAGAAAAACAATAGTGTGCTTGGTTTCAACGTAACTTTATTCTTTCATGAGTTATTTACAAGTTTCTGACACTTATAAAATGTGTTCAATGTGCTGCCAGTTGTGTTGGATTGTCAATGCAACCCTCTTCTCCCACTCTTCACACACTGATAGCAACACCGCAGGAGAAATGCCAGCACAGGCATCCAGTATCTGTAGTTTCAGGTGCTGCACATCTCGTATCTTCACACCATAGACAATTGCCTTCAGATGACCCCAAAGATAAAAGTCTAAGGGGGTCAGATCGGGAGACCTTGGGGGCCATTCAACTGGCCCACGACGACCAATCCACTTTCCAGGAAACTGTTCATCTAGGAATACTCGGACCTGGCACCCATAATGTGGTGGTGCACCATCTTGCTGGAAAATCTCAGGGAACGTGCCAGCTTCAGTGTATAAAGAGGGAAACACATCATCATGTAGCAATTTCAAATATCCAGTGGCCTTGAGGTTTCCATTGATGAAGAATGGACCCACTATCGTTGTACCCCATATACCACACCAAACCATCACTTTTGTTGTTCCAACAGTCTTGGAGGGATCCATCCAATGTGGGTTAGTGTCAGACCAATAGCGGTGGTTTTGTTTGTTAACTTCACCATTCACATAAAAGTTTGCCTCATCACTGAACAAAATCTTCTGCGTGAACTGAGGGTCCTGTTCCAATTTTTGTTTTGCCCATTCTGCAAATTCTGTGCACCGATCTGGGTCATCCTCGTTGAGATGCTGCAGTAGCTGGAGTTTGTAAGGGTGCCATTTGTGAGTAGCTAATATCCGCCGAAGGGATGTTCGACTAATGCCACTCTCCAGTGACATGTAGCGAGTGCTACGCTGTGGGCTCTTGCTGAATGAAGCTAGGACAGCCACTGATGTTTCTTCATTAGTGACAGTTTTCTTACGTCTACATTTTGGCAAATCCAACTCTGAACCAGTTTCACGAAACTTAGCAAGCAGTTTGCTAACTGTAGCATGGGAGATGGTTGGTCTCGTTGAAATCTGCATTGAAATCTGCTGCAATGACCCGGCTACTGCGTTCACCAGATATCAACACAATTTCGATCCGCTCCTCACGTGTTAACCTCTTCGACATGTCAATGGCTGTGAACAAAGAGAAACTTGTAAATAACTCATGAAAGAATAAAGTTACGTTGAAACCAAGCACACCATTGTTTTGTGTCACATGGCCCTCTTCCTATTGAAAAAACAAAAGTTGTATCCAAGATGGCCGACTTCTAAATGGCCACCATGGTCACCACCCATCTTGAGGAGTTTGCCCCCTCATATACTAATGTGCCACAAACAGGACTTCAATATCACCAACCATTCCCATTTTATTACGATGTATCCATATAAATGGCCCACCCTGTACAATGATTTGATTCCAAAGGCAGCACAGTGGAATAGTGGTTCACACTGTGTCCTCACAGCAACAAGGTCCTGAGTTTAATTCCACCATCAGGCCGGGATCTTTCTGTGTGGGCTTTGCATGTTCTCCCCATGTTTGCGTGGGTTCTCTCCAGGTACTCTGCCCTGCTCCCACGGTCCAAAAACATGCAGTTAGTGCGACAGACTAGCAACCTGTCCAGGGTGTAACCCGCCTCTCGCACTGCAAACCTGAATTGGATAAGCAGAAGAGAATGGATGGTTTGGTTCCAATGATCTCTTTAGAGGAAAGGATCACTATAAATGAACACAAGGTTGTTCTGAATCATCACCTTGATGCTGCGCTTCTCCATTGCTCCCTGTGAAAGCCATTGCATACAAATTGCATTATTTTCATACTTATCAAACCATTCAGACCTTAGACCTCACCCCAGCTGAATGCTTCGAGAGATACTGGACTAAGATGTTTGGTCTCCACAAATCATCAGATGAAATACCTTGAAAGATTAGTACTAATTCCTCCAACAGAGTTCTAGAAACTTGGAAAATTAATGCCAAGCAGCACTGAAGCTGGCCTAGTAGCACATGGAAACCAAACCAAACAAGTTTTTTTCATTTGTCATCTATCAGCATGAAAGAGTCTTTCTTCTGTGTTTTAGCTGCATCAATTGTTTTAAAATCCCAACAATCATTTTATTGTGAAAAACTTTTCTGTTTTAACATAATGGTAAAGTAGCTGTTTCGTCTGTTCCTCAGGGTTCTTCCACGTGCCTCGTTGCCTGTACATGTGTGAGCGCATTCTGGATGACTTGCTGGAAAACAAGGACTGAAGATTCTGACATGAATGATAAAGGGATTCATGTCAGGGATTGAACTTGTGCATTACTTCGAATCACGAATAATCAAATTATAAAGCAAAATTGTCTGATTCTTTGTGCATTCATCCAGGTTTCAGTTAAAATCTTACCTTTGTAGGGGTTTCTAAAATACCCAATGCTAAGGGTGGGAATAAAAAAAGAACACATTAACCTTGAGATATACATTTCCAATCATTCATTCATTCATGTTTCATTGAAGACCTTCAGCTTTAATTCAATGTTTGAAAGTAAATAAATGGTTCGTTTGACTGAATCTGGGTAGAGTAGTGACCCAGTTCCAATGGCAGCTCGCGCAGGTGATCTGTAATGCTTCAGATCATAAGCGGTTCCTTCCCATCATTCTGGTACAAGTTAATTTTGCTTTCTTCGGTCCAACAATGTTTTTTTTCAGTAGCTGTACAGCAGCTATCACCAGTGATGTCACAGGCACAGCAGTGCAGCAACAATACATCACAGGCTCAAGGGGCGTCAGTAAGTTTGCCCTTATTTGCATCAGATAATTTTTCACCACAGTTGAAGTTTTGCAAAAATGTGGATGAGATTTGTATTTAACTCCCCTGTGCAAAACCTGTGCTTCACACTTGGTATTTACACCTCATAATTTACTGAATTTCCCACAAAGCACTCCACAGATGTACAACAGCTGGTAGTACATCCATCCATCCATCCAATTTTCTTCCTCTCATCCAATCCCAGTGGTCACAGGAGAGGGAGGGTAAGCCTAGGACAGGTCACTAATCTTTCACAGGGCTAAGACATATAGACATATGTTTTTATGCTCATATTTTTACAGAAAATATGGATTTTTAAACTGGAACCTTCAGGCCTTTTAAAATGTTATTTTACTACTGTTCTATGTGATCTATACATGTCAGGAAATAAATTGTATACTAAAATAATAAAGCTGCTGATGCAGATGCTTTCATTCAGCTGAGTTATCATTATTATTACTAGTTGAAATGTAATGGAAACAAATGACAGATGATGAGCCAATGTTCCTAGAAAGCGGATATGTTTCTAATTAACAAATAATTATTAGAATCTAACCTTTGTCTGTTAGCAGTCTAGCATCCACTGTTCATTTTTCGATTTTGTGTGAAGGTAGACAGGTGGGGCTGGTTTGACTCAGGTCAAGGTCAAACAAATGTGAAAATCTGTAAAAATGTTGTTCTTCATAATTTTTATGGATTGTTTTCCAACAACAACAACATACTAGACTTTGGGGCACATGAGTACCTAGGTTGGCATTTGACCTTGATCTTCATCATTAGTTCCCAAGGTCAAAGTTGATCTTAAAAAACAAAATGTAAAGAAACAGGTCAATTAGGATAAGTGTTAGTTTCCATTAGATCATCTCCAAACTTTAAAGCAAAATGTTAGTCACTGGGGGTCACAAGCTTTTTACTTTGAGCTCTTTAGAACAGCATTTTTAAAAATTGTTATATAACTTCACGATGACACAAAAACATGAATATAGTTCACTAGATTTCCATATTAACAATGCTGACTGACATCAGCAAAAACAGCTGAATATTTTACTCATAAAGATCCGACATTGATTTAGGAGTTTCTTTCCTTTTCTTTTTTTCTTTTTTTTTTTTTTAAGCAGTGAAGTTCAAGCTTGATCTGGTTGTCCTGCATCATAACTTTGATTTTCTACTCTGTTGCTGGAGCACCCTGTGTTCCTCCATTTTTAGATTTCCTTGTCTATTTTTCCCCACTACTTGTGTCAGTGTATTTATAAATTTGTCATGGGGTGATATGGTTTACCAAAATGAACACTGCAATTAACATCAATCCCAAAACCCACTGACAACATTGGGTGTCATGTTTAAAGGAGACAGAGCCCATCTCCACCATTTGTCATGTTCAGAAATGTGCATCTTCATGACAGGTTATCTAAATATCAGACACACTTGATATATAAGAAAATATATAAATAAATATGCGTATCACAAAACGGAACCGGAAGTGGCCAAGCGGAAGTTGGTAAAAAGGGAGAGTTCAAAAGCCACAAAGGCTAACAATATTTAACTCGTCTTGTGTTGCGTGAAAAATAAATAATAGTAAATAATAAGAATAATGAACCCTGCTAAAACACGACAGAACACCACTATATTCAACCTAAAGTCAGAGTCTGCGATTAAAACAAACAAACACAATCAACACAAACTTTAAAATGGCTTGCTACGTTGAACACAACCTCGTAACAAACCGGAAATAATGTGACAGAAGGGCTGAAATGATGGAAACGAGATTCCAACTTATTACATCCATTGATGAAAGGCACCAGGGAGAAAAATGTGCAGTCAAAACATTTTTAATGGCAATTAAACGAGAGTATTCGGAGGTTAATAGCGGCGATTACACATTTGGACCAAGGCTAGCTTTCAAGCGCTGAGGCTACGATGGTGTTTGGACGTTACCAGTAACTTATAGCTATCGTGTAAACGGAGCTCACACCAATAATTATGCATTTAATTTAGTCATTTTTCGTTACGGCAGCTAAAAATTACATTCCAGCGTTCGTCTTTTCACCAGAGGACAGATGGATACGATTTACAGGTACTGCGGTTTGATGGCTCAATGCCTCCCAGTCCCTTATTGATGATTTGTGCTTTTAAACATAACGGGAGTCATGACAACACTAATGATGGGTCCGAATAAGAAATCATAGGCTGGCTCAGTTTGCTGTTATATTTAGTATCTAATCCCATCTATTAATACTAAGTATAAATATTCTAATCATTATTATTAATTGCAATGAGCTAATCTTACAAAATATGAGATCGATCTGTCATTCATATAGTCCCACATTAAAGTTTTAAAGTTCTTATTAACTTGTTTGAAACAGTATTTAAATATTTGTACCTTTGTGTACTGCACACCTCGTCAGTTGTAATGTACCCTTGATGGTAACCGCGAATAAGGCACAAGTACCCTGTACTTACATGCAGTTTCGTGTACCGAGTCAGGTTTTTGCAGGAAACTATAAAATAATTACATTGTTAGACCGCAAGTATCCTGTATTTCCGTGTAACACGTTTTGTACAGGAAACAATAATAAAATAACATACAATAACTTGTTACCTGCAAATGACACCTAAATACTGGGTACTTGCGCCTTATTCGCGGGTCATGTTATAAAGTGTTACCCCTTGATTATTAAAAGAAATATAATTGATCTCCCATTGCAGTAAAAACAGCTCTTCCCAGTTATTAGGAGTAAAGCAAAAATTAAGAATTTTGGGAAAACAGTAAAAATAGTACAATAATGATGTACCTCATTTTATTTTTCCAATAGAAAAAAAAAAAATACAGCATCAGATACTCCGTTGCCTCTAATTATGCTGGTGGAATAACTTCTTTGTAAAAGAGTGGGGATGAATTTCTTCTTAAATGCATGTGACACCTACGTATGCTCCCGAGTGCCTGCTTAAAGCCTTCCATCCACTCTGAGCAACAAGAGCGAGTAATACAACTAATATTGGCTTAGAAATGCAGGCAACTATCACAAATTCAACAAAGGAAATCAGATAAGTGGACTCTCTGCCACTCTGGTAAAGGTTTAGATCTGTACTGTTTGGAGGTGTTAGAGTTCAACATAATAAAGTCATAACTGTATAAAATTCATATATTTATATTTGTGTTAATTCCGTTCTTCCTTCTGTTCTCTCAGTGGCCGAGGTGTCTTCTACCAGGCAATGCCTGCAATTGGAGCTGATGGAAAGAACATCATGAAACTGATTCCTGTCCAAATGGTGAACAGACAGTTTTTCCAACCACAGACAAGTAACACTAAAAGGGACCCAATTTCCCAGGAAGCTGTTACCATAAATATCAACTCAGCACCTGTGAACATGGTCACAGATACAGCTTTGAGTTCTTCTGTCTCTCAGCAAATAATCAGGAAGCAGGTTTCAGTTATGAATGTCTTGTCCAACCGTGTACATTCAGTCAACAACCAGTCGCTGCAGCAGCAGACTGGTAATTTAATGGCTGAAGTTCCGTCAGTGGAAATTTTTAAAGAAAAATCTGGAATGCCAGTAAGACTTCTTAATCCGCTCCCAGTTACTGTGAAATCTCCTGCACTCCCGAGAGGACAGTATCTTCAGATTCCCCCCAATGCACAAGTCCAGACTGTTCCAGCATGCAGACTCCCTGCAGCTATCCAGAAACAGATTTTTACTTCTTCTGCCAGCTCCTCCTCAGGGTCAGCATTACCCAGTGTAGTGTATGTTACTCCTGTCACCACTATAAATCAAGGCGGGACTCTGCCAACGGACACCGCTCCACACTCAGTCCGAATGTTTTCCAATGCATCAACACTGACTTCTTATGGATTTCACCCAAAGCAAAGAACACAACAGTTAAAACTGATTCCAAAGGTTTCACAAAGGCCCGACAGCCCCACACGCTGGGTGATAGAAGAAGTGGATTGTTCATCAGGTCCAAATATAAAACCTCTTAACTGTCCGTCTGTAACTTCAGAGATTCTTCAAGCAATCGCACAGAGAGAAAATTCTTCCACACAGCTCAGCACCTTCAGAAAAACAGCCTCTCAGCTGAGTCAGGACAATGGTGCACAAGGGCAAGAAAATGCTTTGGTCATGTGCAATGGCAAGGTGTTCTTTGTAGCTAAACGGTGCACCCCGCTATCTAAGACCACAACAACAACTAAAGCGTCTGAACTCAGCAAAAGCATTCTTCCACCATCTTCTTCTTTACAACAGTTTCTTCAGTCAGCTGTAACAAGTCGAGATGTTAGAACGCAAAGGGAGTCAGATGAGGTGATTGATCTATGTGACGATGAGGAGTCACCTCAACAAGCAGTTAACGTGCCTGCGGTCTCTCATCTGGATGAAGACAATGTCATATTTGTATCATATATTCCACCCAAGTCAGAGTCCTGCTCACCACGCTGCACAACTTCAAACATGGCTTTGAGAGGAGCAAAAGCCGGCCAGGACACGTCAGATAGAAATGAAACATGTGTTTGTGGCTCAGACGTGCTTCACAGCACCTCTGCCCAGCAGCTGCAAGACGTAGAGCTTGATGCAAAAACAAAAAGTCCAACAGAGGCCAGCAGCAGCTGTGAAACAGAGAGCGACAGTCAGATAACTGAGGTAAGGCTAGTTCTGATGCTTCTGGGACTTGTTAGTGTTTTAATAAAAATGCTTTTAAGGTGTGATTGTAGACTAGATAATATAACATTTCACGTAGGTCTGCAGCTAATCATTACAGATCTGTGGTTTGGTCTATGTTTTTTGAAGGATAATTCAAGTTTGTTTGTAATTGTTTTCTGTCTGGTGAGTATTTCTGATCACACCAGTGTTCGTTTGGAAGTTCAACCTCTTAACCTTGTCGGTTTTCTTGTGTGATGTACAAAATGAGTATTTTCTGAAGCGTGGATGATAGAAAAACGTGGATTTATTTTCCTTTTTTAAAATTTTTTTTTATTTTGTCTCTGTACAGCACCGTAGTCAGTTTTCATTAACATGTGATTAAAGTGCAGACTTTCAGCTTTCAGTATTACATTAACTTGTTTACACTGGAACGTGCTACCTATTAAGCTTCACAGCATTTGGCTGAATCTGAGCAGAGTGTACAGCCCTGTGCAGCTCAGATTCATCCCATTATGTCTCTGAGCAGGCACATGATCAGCAAATACTATGACCTGGTAGCACTGGCAACCATACTTTAGCTTTAGCATTGCCTCCACCATGTTTGACAGGTGGCATCTTCCTAAGCAGGTTCTTTTCAGATGTTTTCTAAATATACTCTGGACTTTCTCTTCTTAAAAGTAACCAGTGGCACCTTGTTGTAAACCCTCTGAAGACCTTGTAGACCTTGACAATGACATTCCAACCTCTTTAAGAGCAATTTTGACTTTAGAGTACAAGCCACATTTTTAACCATGCATTAAATGCATTGCTTTATTTTTTTACACTCCAAGCACTCTACCTCACATTCATGGGTAGTTTAGAATCAACAACTAAAACGAACAATTAACCTGACATGCATGTCTGTGGACGGTGGGAGGAAGGAACATGCACACAGCACACAACGGCCGCAGCATAAACCAGGAACCTCAGGTCATCTCTTCCTGTGAGGTGACATTGCTAGCCAACACAGTGTTGCATGTTGTGAGTGGGTTTTTTCTCAGTCATGGAAAGAATTTGTTTTAGTTGTCTTTCAGACCTTTGGTGTTGCTAGTACATTGCTTCTTTTAAGAATGTATCAGATTGTTGATTCGACCACTAGAGTTTTAGCCATCTCTTTAATAATGATGGCCTCCTTCACTTGCAGTGACCTCTCTTTGGACCGCTTAGTAAAAGTTCCCATAAACAGCTACTAAATGTACTTGGATCATTTGCTTAATGTGTGATAATGGTATTTTATTTTACATTTCCCTATTTGCAGGGCTCTACAAATCCTGAGTCAGTGGCACCAAAGCCTCGCAAATTGTCTGACCACCTGCTGAGGCAGATATTCGGGATAACAGCTGAACTTAAACTTTGCCTTCAGAGGGTTGATGAACCATCAGTTGAGTCTGTCCCTGTAAATTCGCTGCACATAGACTCCATTAAGTCAGTGGAGGATAATGAGGAACCAGTGGTAGATGTTTTTCGATATGAAGGTGGCAGTTCACAAGAAACCAATATGAACAGTGGTCATACTGATATCCCGAGAGTAAAAATACAAACTGGAAAGGAATTACCACCATCACCTGACACAGGTGTTGGAGCTCTCAAATGCTCTCATGTCAAACTGGACCAGAAACCTCCTCCTTTTCCTTGGAAACAGAAGTTCTTTTCAGGTCAAAGTTCACACAACAGAGCATCATGTGACTGTAAAAGTAAGCAAGAGACAGATTGTTTGGAACCAGGTGGTGAGGATGTCCCTACCACAAATGAAGGCAGTATCTCACAATCACAGTATGCAGATGCTCATCTTCAGACTCAGACTTGGTTGGATCTCAGCAGAAACACAAGGAGAATAGGACGGACCAGGAAACGCACTGTGTGTCCATGTTGCATGCCCACTACTCTGGATCCTGCAGTCAAGTCCAGGGCAAGGCTAGAGGAGCTAGACAAGTGGGACTTTACAGCAGAGCAGGTGAGTAAAAAAGGGGGAAGAGCAAAGGTTCCTCGAAAAGATGGAATGATGAGCTGTGGAAAAGTCACAAACAAGCAGAACTGTGTCGCCCATGTGGGCTATAGTAACATTTTGTCAACAACGTCCACGGACTGTGATGAACTAAAAAGACAGGAACGGATCAAAAGACTCAAAGATTACCTGACAGAGAAAGAGGCAGCGTTGCAACTAATGAAGAGAAAAGTGAGCTGATTGAAAATGTCCAGTATTTCTAGCACACACACGTGTCCTTATAAAGTTCATCGATTAATGGACTCAAAAATGGCACCTCTTCATGCACATTCACTTTCTGAGACTCAAAGTGGGTTTATGTTCCATGGAGCCCACCACACATATACATCAATGCTGGGTTTTTACTTGTCCAATAGGCTATGATGTGATATCATTACACACAGAGTATTTACAAACATGAAACTTTACCCTTTAAATCCTGAACCATGAAATACCTTCAGGAAAAAAAAATATTAATTTGCTTTTAGCGGTTTTCATTTGTATCATATTTGCTACATTTTGCATTGTTTGCTTTTTTGAGAGGCAGAGGATCACATTTATGTGGAAAAACTCACAAAAATGTATGTATATCCTCCTGAGAACCAGCCTATTCATTTATGCCCTCATTAATGGACATTTGTTTTTGCTCTATATCTTTTGACTTATTTGGGCTACCATAATAAGTCACACCAACCTTTCCATTGATATCACACCGGTTTGGGTGATACTTTTAGCTCCAGAAATGCAGGACATTACAAAAAAAGATATTTGGTTCCTCAGTTCTCAGGAGGTGTTGCAGGGTTAATGGAATTAAGTCTTAATTGAAAATTGCTTTTTTGTTTGTTTGTTCGCTTTGTTTGGATTGTCTGTTTTCCAATTTAAAAATGAAAATAAAGCTTATAAATAAAAGAAAGAAAAAAAAAAGAAAGTTGCTTAACTGGCAGGTGCTAGGGCCACTAAGGTGGACGTCTTCCATCTTGGTGGCCTAAGGATCTCCTCTTTGCTTTCTGTTGACTCCATCAGGCAGTTTCCTCCAGCTCCCACTGGAGCGATTCACAGACAAAATTCAAGCCGTATTAAGAAGAACTAGAATTTCCAAATCTGAAGCTATGGTGTTCTGCTGGATGAATTGTTACTCTAAGTCACAGGTGTCGAACTCCAGGCCTCAAGGGCCAGCGTCCTGCAGGTTTTAGATGTGTCCTTGATCCAACACAGCTGATTTAAATTGCTTAATGACCTCCTCAACATGTCTTGAAAGTTTTCCAGAAGCCTGGTAATGAACTTATCATTTGATTCAGGTGTGTTGACCCAGAGTGCTATCTAAAACCTGCAGGACACTGGTGCTGGAGGCCTGGAGTTCTACACCCCTGCCCTAAGTGGTATCAAGTATCTCAGGGAAATTTTTCCCTGAGAGAGGGGAGCAGGAGACTGATAGACAAACTAGGACAGGATCTGCAGTGATGTGTACTAGTGATGGGCAGATGAAGCCTCATGAAGCACTGAAGCTTTTCATCCAATTGGTTCACCCCAACGCGAAGCTTCTTGAAGCTTCATTTGCTCTAGCAGGACACCTACTGGACGTAAAAATATTAGTTGGCATGAATTTGAAGAGTGTGGCATTTTGCACACAGCCTGTAAATGTCAACAACAAAAGGAGTGTGTAAAACATCTATATTGTAGTGATGGCAGTATACTGTGTATATTTATGCTGGCAGTATGGAAAATGATTATTTGCGGCAAAGTTCGAACCGCTTCCTGAACCAGTCACGTGGTACAGCCGGGCAGCGAGGCTTCGGACGTCATCATTTTCAGCTCCTCCCATAAATGAAGCAAGCCTCGATACGCGCTTCGCGGAAACGCCCCCTCCATTACTCGACACACGCTTCGAAGCCTCGATACAGAACGTCCCATCACTAATGTGTACTAGTTTGTTTATCAGTTGATCCGTGTCTGTACCCTCACCCATGGTCACAAGCTATGGATAGAGAATAAAAGAAACAGACACCAGAATAAGAGAGAGACACCAGATGTCAGAGTCAAAGCCAGCTGCTTCACTCTTGTCATGTGGTCACCTGCACGGTGAATGGTAAATGGACTGGTTCTTATATAGCATACTCAAACAACTTGTCTTTTTCACCCATTCATTCCTCTGCTTACCCACTGAGCTAAAGTGGCACCCAGTTTATGTCTTTTCCAACACACTTACAGCTTACATGTTTCTTACTGGTCAGGTTTCTTGTTTTTTTCTGACAACCATTAAACTGAAAACAAACTCTGTTTCCAAAAACTGTTGTGGAAGTTCAAAAACAGGTCATAAACTATAACTTTTTATTGATAAGATTATTTTAAAGTTTACATCAAATGCTAAAACTGAGAAATTGTGTTTTTTTCAAAAAAGGTAACCAAAGAGATAACTGATCTAGTTCTTATAATTCTTTTTCTTCTTTGTTTTTAATGGCTGCTCTATTCTTTATTTACAGAGCTCCATGACGATTGTTAGTACGCACAGATAAAAAGCTAGCAACCTATAATGGTGTAGTAATTTACATATCTCATTAATGCATTAATGAGTCTATGTTATTCATTATTGATGAATGATGTGCAGAAAGGTTTCATGTAATGGTTTCCAGACTTATCGCAGATTGAATCAGCAGTTTTACTAAATTCCTGGTTTTTCCATCAGTTCCTGCCAGTAAGTGTCTCTTTACATACAAGGAGATAACTGGACTCCATTAGGTTTGTGAAGATGTTTCACCTCTGAGGCTTCTTCAGGTCATGTGATGGGGGCAGTATTTCCAACCTAAAATGAAGGTGAAATAAAGGGGTTTTTTAAAAAAGTGGTTATGCAACACAATGGGAAACTGTTGCTGTCATTAATTAAACATTTTAAATGAATATTTATTTTCTTACAAAACTGTTTCAATATTTGAATCGTTGTCTTTCTGCTATTTATAGTTACACAAAGGTTTTAATTGAATACTGTATTATTTAATTTACATTTTTAAACTGAATCACAATATTTTTGTAAACAGGGTTATATGTTTTATAGTTAAGTTTGCTATGGTTTACCTTGTGCTGTGTAGAACAATACAATAGCATGTATCTGCTCAGTGATGCACTTTTTTGTTTGTAAACCTTAATTCTTCACTTTTGAATAATAGATTAAATCACTCTGTTCCACTTCAGCTTGTAAGCTGCATCCTAAACATTACTTATAATGTTTTCATTTGTTTTCCAAACACAGCCTAACATGTACTGAATCATGACAGACAGTGTAAGCTTTGTCTTTACAAAGTGGATATTTACAAATGGTATGAAACATAGTTGTTCTGAATTGGACGCAGTGAAGCAGACATCTCTGACTTCTGTTGGAAACATGTGACCATCAGTTTAAGGTTTCTTCATGTTTTTGATTAAAATATGTATTCATGATTTATTTAATTCCATTTCCACTAAATGAACATTTATTTAAAACTTGCCTTCTTGCTGTTTTCTTGTCTGTTATCTGTAACATACATTAATTACAGTTCAATTGTGTGTGGATCACAGTGTGTACAGTGATTTCTTTTTGCAAATGAACACAGTGTCATAATTCATTATCTGCTTTTTATTACCATTAAATGCACTGTAATTGAAGGAAGGATGTACATGCATTTAAACAGAGACAGAAAAACACCTCCCTGCCTTAATAATTAATTCTGATTCTATTTATTATTTAATTTCTGGACATTTTATTCAGAGTTCCTTGGTCCACAAAATAGCCTGACTTTTATGTGGTGTGATGTGTATACATGCTACAAAAAATACCCTCTGTGCTCTACATCAGTCTCAATATTTCAATTCAGTCATAGCACTGAATGAAGTTTCTGACCTTCAAAAACATGCAGCACCAGCCCATAATGAGCACATGTGATGTGTATGTGAAAATCAT